GGAGCTCGCCACTGGGTAGTTCGCCACCAAGCAGTTCGTCACAAAGTAGTTCTCCCCCAGGGAGTTCGCCACCAAGTAGCTCATCACCAAGGCACATCACCACCGGGTCAAACAACGAGGTACTTAGCCAAAAAATTTATACATCACAAAAAATGGTACGTGACCAAAAACGGTTACATCAAAACCTATGATTGTGTTTGGTTGCAGTGCAAATCTACAATAGAGTTTAAATGGATGGGATGGGATTAATTGGCTGAAGTATTGTAAATAATGGTTTAACTTTGCTTCAGACTTGACCTGGTCTCGTTTGTTTGTGAACAGTTAGTTAACTCTGGCGGGTTTGGCTTGTGCTTTTGTCAAAATTTAAATGGCTCCGGCTTGAGGCCCTAACCGGATGCCTTGTAAAATGCTAACTTGGGCCAACCCGAATTGCACAAAAGTAAACTTGCAAGTAAAATGTGTAATTCCACCTTATAAAGGAAGAAAGGTTATTTCTTTGGGAGGAGTGCAAATGGAACAATAAGTACACATTTTTTTATCATGTAAAAGTGCATATTATTGTTACCAACAAATAGATGTGAACCCGAATCTGGTGCAAAATTTAAATCTGATTCAGATCTGCACTGCAACCAAAGAACGTCTAAATACTGAACACTGGACCAGACGTAAAGCAATCCTGATGCTCCCGTCAATATATTTGTATTTGGATTTTGGACCGGTAACCTCTAACTTGAGAGGGTGTTGGGTTTCTCTTATTATTTTTCAGTCAATTAATTAGCACGGTTGCTAGTCATTTCATAGAGATTTGTTAAGCATACAATATTTTTCCTTCAAACCAAACACAGCCTTAAAGATCCCTTGTTGAATATTTGCCCACGCCTAGAAGTCTATAACGTCAACTCCAAGAGCAGGACAAATTCTAGTTTTTGACTTTTTGGACAACTCTAGTCTAGAGTCCCAATATTGAGATAGTTTAGCTAATTTAGGGCCCATTTGGTATGTCTTTTCTCATGTCTTTCGGTTGTTTACAATCTGAAAAGACCAATTTTTGGTGTATTTCTGTTGAGCATGCAAAAGATTTAGCCGCCAAACACCGGAATGCTGAAAGGACATGAAAAAACCCATTTGGGGCTGATTTAGTAAAGTTCCAAATGAAGCTTTTTATGTTTTCGTGTTTTATTTTCATGCGGAAAGATGCACGGAAAGACGTGCATCCGCTAAATATGCCTTGAGCTGCTTAGATCTTCGTACAAAAGTCAATACATCTTTTAATTGTCAAAACTATCAGAAGATCTTTTCAAAACGACGCACCAAACAGGCCCTTAGACTTAACGAAACACAGTTGCATTTGGAAATTACGTAGATTGTAATTTGATCAACACAGATGAGCTATACAAACACACTCTGATAATCTGATTCATTGACTCTTGAAAATATGATATTATGACCGATTACAGAGGCACATGTGCACAAGATCTGCACAAATGCATGGCTTTTATTATGGTAATTGCCTCTGGTGTTTGAACCCTTACTCACTGGCGGATTCAATTATGGCATCGGAGGTCACATTCATGGCATAGAGATGAGAAGAGCCTCGTGGGCAGAAGATAACCCTGTAGTTAGTACCACCAGGGCAGGTGAAAGTGCTGGTGGGGTCATCCTTGGGGTAGCTATAAGCATCTGGGCACCTTTCCTTGAAGAACCTGGACAATGGGGTCGGCCCACAACTCCCAGAGTTGCAGCAGTACTCATCGGTCTTGTATACGGTGCATGGGTTGTTACAGCCTCCAGGGGCCCGTAGTTGGGCAGGGCATTGGCCTATTATATCAGCTGTGCATTTGATCCCCCGGCAACCACCACTAGTCGGGCTAAAGTCCATGGGGATGTTAAATCCATCGACCAGAGAGATGTCGAAGAAATCCAAGTTCATGAATTGATTCAGTGCGAATTCAGCTAAGGTGTTGGGCGGGGAACCATAGCCTTGGCATTGGAGAAGCCCACCACAATCACCGGTCTGACACCATCCCCGGCCGCTTCCGTCAAAGTTACAATTGGTTCGGCCCCAAATGCGTGCCCCTGCTGTTCCTGCTGCCACGTTAAGGGTCCACGACTGGCCGGGTTCGAGTCGCCGGCCACCGCCTGGTGAAGCAGCAGCCCAGACTGTATAGGGACATTGGTTTTGGACCAGAAATGTGGCTGCCTGGGTGAGGGCGAAGACGAGACCAGAAAACAGAAGGAAGAAGATGGGGAGTTTACTTGGGAAGCCCATCTTAAAAGCTCTTGTATCTTTGTATGCTTGTTTGTTTGTCTGAGCTGAGACCGAGAGGGCTTTTATAGAAGCAGGTGGTGCCTCTGGCCGTGGCGTGGTCTGGAGTTTGCTCGAAGATGCGAATAAAAGTGTGCACATTTTGTTGACTTGAGGTTGATGACGCATAGAAGATAAGGGAAGAGATATCAAGGTTGCTTGCTAAACGGACTATCGACCAGGTCCAGCACTTGGGCAATAAAGCAAATACAAAGTGGGCGGCTGAGACCTGAGAGGGTCTTCAGTTCACTCTTCACAGATTAACAAACAGCTTGGCTGCCCGGGCAGCCACGCCACTGACACCTGGGCTCCCGTTGAAAATTTTTGTCTTTGTTACGGCCTTACGGGCAGTGAGGTGTTTGTTTGGGGCTGCCCGGGCAGCCGGCTGCTAGCATTCTTCATCTGTCGGCTTGTTCATATAAATTGGGTTCAAATTTTGGAGTAATACAAATCAATTCATTTGTCCTTTCGAAATTAATGGTGGAGCCCTGTATAATAATATTTATTTTCTGGGTAATGATACCTACTTAACTGTTTTTCAAAGCTACTTTTCTGTTGTCCTGTGGATAAGTCTAAGGTTCTTTTAAACATGGGCGACGTGGCTGTTTATCCACCGTTGAACCTCCTATGTGTGATATGTGGATTGTTTTCTTAAAAATGTGGACTTTCTTGATAGTCTTTGAATACAAGCACCAAGCAGCCTCCTTGCCTAACCTCCTTTAATATGAATTTTTTATTGTATATTATTATAAATTCTGCGTTACCTGATTTTTTTTTTTTGTATATAATAAAATAATAAGGACACCTAATTTGTTAAGATGTCTTTGTGTAATCTATTAAGGAAGAATCCAGTAATATTATGTATAGACATATAAATGAATTACTTAAATAAAAAACAAGGGGAATGATAAATAAAATATTTAGTGTAAAGACAAACAAACCATTTTTGTTGGTTATAACAAAAATTAAAACATATGGGTGTTTTGGTCTTTTGACATATACTTTAATGAATGGTTTAATTTGTAATCCCTTGTATAAAAAAAGGTATAATTCGATGTGTTCAAATTATTGCCCTAAAAATTTGGGGAGATAAAAGGTAGCCTACAACTTGCATATAGGGCCTGAATGATAGCTTGACCCCATGAATTCTCTAAAGCTATTCTTGAATATATGAGCTCACCTTATCGGAATTTTTTGAATTTTTTATTTTTTATTTCATCTCATTTTTTAAACAACCAATGAGATGCACTTTTCCAATAACCTAAATAATCTCTTCTCCTAAAACTTATCATAAACTAACTTCCCCACTTTATCTAGAATTATCTCTAATTCCTATTTAATCCTCTCCCCTACTTTTTATCTATATCTATCTAAAGAAAGTTTGGATTAAAAATTATTTAAATATTCTAACAAAATTATATAATCACTTTAAAATATTTATTAAAAACATAAAAAATAATTTTATATTTCTACAAAATATATCATGAAATTATGTACTAACAATTTAAATTATGTTTTCCTGGATTATCAATTTAAATGTTTTTCAAATATTTAATAATATGTAATAGCTTTAAATTAATAAAATTCAAATAACAAAAAAATGTAAATATTTAAATAACTAAATACTTATCATAACTATATTTTAAATAGTTAAAATAACGAAATCATCTAATAAATAATTTTATATTTTTACAAAAATATATCACGAAATTATGTACTAACAATTTAAATTATGTTTTTCCGGACCATCAATTTAAATGCTTTTCAAATATTTAATAATATGTAATAGCTTTAAATAAACAAAATTCAAATAACAAAAAAATTAAATATTTCATAGATTATTTAAATATTTAAATAACTAGAGATTTATCATAACTAGATTTTAAATAGTTAAAATAACGAAATTATGTAATAAATTAAAAAAAATTCTTTAAAGTAGAAAAATAATTATAACATAATATTGAAATTAATAATAATTTAATATATTACAAAATTAATAACAAAATTATGTAATGATAGTATAAATTATGATTTTTTGGATAACTAATTTCAATAAATAATTAATATTTTAAAATTTAAATATTTTACATATTATTTAAGTATTTAATAAATTTATAAAAATTCTCTAAAATAGAAATATAATTATAACATAATTCGAGAAAATGCCTTTAAAAAATTAATATTTATTAATAATATTTTTAAACTCTTAATCTGTATTTATTATATAATTATATATACTAAAATTAATATTTATTGTATTTTAGTAATTATTTATTGTTTTTTGTGGTAAATGTATTTTCAATGATTATGTATAAATTTATTTTGTTTTATTATTTAATAGAAAACTTTCAATAATTATTGGATATTAAACTACTAKTATTGAAAATTTTTAAATTTAATTTATTGTACTTATTATAACTTATTGTTTAATATTTATTAGAAATTAAACTATTATTTGAGATTATACTATTTATTGACTAAGTTAATATATTTTTAGTACTTATTGTATTTTTTCATTATCAATATATTTTCAATAATTGTGTATTTCCGCTATAAATTATCAATAATTATTGGAGATTAAACTATTGTTATTTATTAGAGATGAGACTATTAATTTAGTTGAAATTATGAGTGTTCATGAGTTGGTTTGGTTCGGTCGTAGGCTATTTGGCCCACTTAAGTTGAATCGGTTTGGGTCGATTTTTTGGTTTGGTTAGTCAGTTCAAAAGATTTAAACTTAAAAAATAAATTTAATTTTAAAAATTATAGTGAAATTATTAAAAAATAAATTTATAAATTAGATTTATGATATAAAACATTTTAGATTAAGAAATATGAGAAATTTCCCACTTTTCCATATTTAAAATATAATATATTAATATCCATGGTTAGGTCATTCGATTTTGGATGGTTTACAAATGACCAAAGTGAAATTGATCCAACTTGGTCGAATTGGAAAATTTTTTAACCAAAGCCAACCTAAAATATATACTAGAAAACTGACCAACTCTGGTTGAGTTGATCGGGTTGGTCAGTTTCCTCAATTTGATGAATCAACCTAACTGAAATTAATTATTGTTATTTTTGTATTATAAAAAAAATTATTAAAAGTAGTATATAAAATATGAATAATTATTAATTATTTAAATAGTTGAAAATATAAAACAATTGTATACTCTTATGTGATTCTATTAGGGTCATTTGCTAGAACACATCTTATGGTTTTACATATTTACTTAAACCTACCTTATARTTTTCATTTTATTAAAACACCCCATATATTTTACAACTTATTTACTTAATCAATCTTTCATTAAGAAGTGTTTGTTTTGCCATTAGGCCCATGATTTTTGTATTCCAAAAATACCCTTAACACTTTTTTTTTGTACAGAAAACAAAATTAACCAAATATAGCCAATAGAGTGGTTTCCCATGTCTTATAAAGGGCAAAAATGTTATTTTTATTTTTATTTTCTTTTTATTAAATTTATTTAAATGAACATTAGGGTCAACACTGTCATTTTCCACTATCATGTAATGAAAGATTGATTAAATCCATTGCAAATTATAAGTGGTGTTTTAATAAAATTTTAACTATAGGGTAGATTTTAGTAAATCCATGAAACTATAAGAGGTATTTTAGTAAATGACCATTTCTGTTATTTAGCTTTCGCTTAATAAATCCCATGTATCGCACGGGTCCCCGCTAATAATATTTAAACCTTTGTGGGTCTTACTAAGAAATGATTTAAGTGTTCATAATTTAATTTTGCAATAGATGTGGCATTCAATAGAATAGGATGGTGAAATGGGATTTATGTAAGGGGCGTCATATAGTTAGGATAAGGCTTGGATAATGATGATGATGATGATTACTCGATTACAGTAAAACAGTAGTTATTGGTTCAATCTCCAAAAGTTTTTTTTTTTTAAATGTTATTCATGATATGAAATATCAAAGTCATTCTTTAGTTTGATTTCTTAATGAAGTTCAACTTTGCAAATTATTCTAAATTGTGATTTAAATGCACTGATCCAGAATATTAACAAACCAAAATTGGGTCTACGCATATATGATTGAACCTGATCTGTTTGCTGTGCTATCTGTGATTGAAAGTACATAACGTATCATGTCTGAGATGAATGGTGCACGGTKCATTTGTAAGCGCTAGAAGAAAACAATTTTAGGGGTAACTTCATCTGAATGTGATATTGCCATCAGTAACTGGACGTATTAGGTCAGAATTGCTCCCTTCAAACAACCAACTGTTGAAATTTAAATGGACTTCTGAAGTCAAGGCTCAATGGGCTTACTTGAGCAACTCCTCGATTGTATAATGAATAGGAAAAAAAGAAAAAAAATTAAGAAAATGCTCCTACCACTGATAATATACTGTCAATCCTACCAGCTCTGGTGGTTCTTTACCCAATTACTACTTAAAATTTTAGAAAAAATTAAAAAAGAAAAAAAAATGAAAGACAACTAAAAGGGCCAATGCATGCAATTACCAGGAAAGAAATCTGTTGAAGCATTGAGTTTCAGAAGAATAGAGTCCTCAGGGTTGAAAATGTGGTCATGGTGTGTATGTTAAGCCGCCATTGATGCACCAAGCACCATACATATTAAGGTAGCACCTTGGGCGGGACTGGGTTGGGTTGAGAAGCCTTTAAAATTTGATACTGTGGCCCAAGCCCAATGCAGCGGAAACTCTCACGTAACTTTCTTAGGGCTTTTCCTCAATGGGCCTAGCTCATAGAAAAAGGAGATAAAGTAATAGAAACAAGGTCATTTTCCAATATGGGGTCTTATTATGAGGGGTAGATCAGATAGGGTCCCCTATACACTGATGCATGTCTCATTTACATATATTAAGGCCTTTGTTCGTTTTTCATAAAGTCAATTACCAAGGCAAATGTTTTCTAGGAAATACTTATTTAGGTAAGTTCACTTATTCATGTTCTTTTGATTCCCATGTAAATTTTATAATGACTTTTTTATTCATAAAAAAACAATGCTAGAATGGACAAACTTGTCCCATTATATTTTTTATATTCATACAAAAACAATGAGAGATGGGTATATCCAAGGAAACTAACTTTAATGTGGGACCCAGAGCTAACGAAAAAACATTGTAAAGTTGGTC